CCGTCGACAATCAATCTCGCGACAAGGCCACTTTCCAAGGCAGATGATCAAATAGCAACGCGACGACATCGATAAGTCAACAATATTTAGCCATCAAGATGTCCGTGTCATCCCCCGGAACCATTGTCGACGAGTCCTACGACGACCTGAGCTGGGTCGATTTCCGGCTTGACCGGGCCAATGATATCACAGCTATTAAGAAGTCGCTCACGAACCAGGCCTGGTTTGAGCCCTTGTCGCACCCCGAAAAGGATATGAGCGGCTTCAACGTCGCCATGATCGTAATGCGCATGATTTACGGCAACGTGCTGGCGACTCCTGCGACAGCCGAGCCAAGTCTCGAGTTGCTGGAGGACGACGAGGACTGGGAGTCAGAGCCCGAGACAGACGAGAAGAGCGAACACTTGCATCTCAGATCCTACCTCCACGACAACGAGGAGCAGTTTCCCCTTCTCGCAGTATCTTGGGTCGACATACCCGGAATCCTCCAGAAAAAGGCAAAGAATAGCCGTACCGAGAGCGTATCATCATCGGCGGCCTACGACAGAACGGTGTTCGAGATGGCCGAGCTACTCCTCTCCAGCTTCCCCAAGCACCGGCATGAAGACGGACCGATATCTTTCTCCTACATTATGTCCAGCGACCTGGCCAACGACGCGCTCTGGAGCCACCCCTCTTTTCTCTACTACTCTCCTATCGTCGGTTGCGCCCCCGCCGAAGCCGGACCGTGGACGGTCGGTCGCAAGAAAATCCCGACCCGCATGAATGCGCACTACTCCCTCCTTCATTTCGACTGGGCGCTCGAGCGCAAACAGTTTGCTGGTCTTGGCGCTTTTTTGACGTCCGTGGTTCTTCCCCGCCAGCGTCCAGACGGGCAGTGGTTGCTCTATCAGCCGAACTTTCCCAAAGTGTTGCGGGTCAGATATGTGCCCGCCGCGGACACTCGCCGTTCTTTTTCGCCTGATGGGGGTGCCAGTCCCTACGACCAGAACCCCGGATTTGACGACCTCAGACACATCACCATCGGCGGCCGCAAAATTGACACTTCAACCTCTCTGGCAGAATGGGCGCGCAAAGATAAGCAGGGACAAGCCATCAGGCAGGGATACTCCATATTTGCCGTAGTGCGACTGCGTAACTCGAGCAATCCGAAGGAGCAGGATCTGGTACGGACTTACGATGTGCAGCGGATTGCCGACATGGAGGGAAGGGCGGACGGCATTGTGGTGCCCGAGATGTCAACGACGAGCAGGACGGGAAGTGCAACGAGGTACTTGACTGATGGGTGGAAGCTGGGTGAGCCGGGTCATGAGTACGATCTGTTCTATTGTAGGGATGAAGCTGAGCCGGAGGGTGATGCTCGTGCTTCTGTAGCGAAGACTGGAAGTGCCAAGGAGGTTGGTGGTGGTGGAGATGAAGAGGAGCAGGAGCAGAGGGAGAAGCGGGCGAATGACATTCCTTATGAAAGTATCGAAGATGGAGATGCCACTCTGCAATGGGAAGGAGCAAAGTGAAGTCTTGCACTCCTTGAATCTCGAGGGTGAGCAAGAACTTCAAGCTGTGCAAGGGCAAAAGACTGGAGCAGCCGACCACATTGAGCGTGTTCGCACGCTCTTACCGTCTAAAGTACTTGTAACCCAATACTATAATGTGTTGAATGTGAAAACGAGGGGCTTGAAGAAAACTTTGGTGTGCTAAAGTTGGGATGTAGCGTCATATTCTCCTGTGTGATGCCTCTGGTTCTCCGTCGATGTAACAGACTTTTTTTGATGCTCGATTAAGAAAACTGAGAAAATGACATGATATATTCCCAGATTGAGAAGAGATGGTCGGGAAGGAGCCAAACATTTAGAAGCTTTGAAACGCAATGTTGACAGAGTGATGGCAGGTGCATTGGTCGAGGAACTAAAGGGATCGCCATGGTTACAATCGACGGGATCAACCCTAACCCTGTGTCACTGCTCTCTGCAAAGGCATGTCCTCCGGCAGGCATCACACCATCGCGCACCATCGCGACGATGTCGCTTTCACTTGGTTCCAATCCCAGCTTCCAACTTCAATAACATCAGCCGAATATTGATTGAATATGACTAGAACCACACACAGGAATGATCGAAACACCACCACTCCGTCCTGACAACCATTATGCTTCCTCAATACTATTCTTTTCTATCGAATGGTCCAAGCTGTCCAGCATTCACTTGACGACATGAGGTGAATATCACAATGTCAACATGAATCTCTGTCCTCAACCTCACAACCTTCTCAAGGCAAGACATTCTAGCCCTTGAAACCCGCCGCCATGTTTATATGCGTGGTGGACACTCCCATTCCATCGCATAGATGCCATCTGCTTTGCGAGACTTCCATCCCTTGCAGGTCACGCCCTCACACTCGAGGTAATTTTTACTGTCTGCCCGTTGGAAACACTTCGTTGTCAGGCATCCGAGGAAGACTCTGGAGGGACACTCGAAGACAAATCTTCCGAAACCCAAACATAGTCGCCCTCCGCCAGGAATGCCAACATCAAGACTGTCTCGAATCTTCATCTTACCACTTTACTTTCCCACCGCGAGCATTCCAGCTCACGCGTTTGTTTGCCATGTTTTCCTTGCTTCTGGATAGTCAGTCCATTCGTCAAGGGCGCCTGCGTGTTGATGACTTGGAATATTCTGGATATTGTTGTCCTGCCCTTGATATCAACATCTTCAAATACCAACCCAGGCCGTCGCCCGATTTCTACCATCCCCTTTCTTCTCTTCGTCCTCAGTCGCTCTTTTATGCTTCTTTCCCGACTTCTTCTTGTGTTGGCCGTATGAGCCGACCTCTTTCATTTTCTTTTTCCATTCCTTCGTCTCTGAACAACTCCACCCTCCTTTCCCACCCTCTGCGAGGTCATCTCTCGTCAACATGGGCTGGCAATCGAGCCCCGGCCGCCTTGTCGTAGCCGCGGCCGGCCTTTTGGGCTTTGTCAACGGACAGGCTTACTTCGGAACCTATCAGGATACCGTAACCAAATGTGGTAGCGATAATTTTATCTATCTTGGCTGTTACGGCAACTTCCTCGCTAATGCTGGCGACTTCTTTCGCTTCGGTCCGGAGGGCTACAATGCCGCTGACCTCTCCTTGAGTTTCCCCGGATGGGACCCCGGTTCCGATTGGGACTCTACGCAGACTCCTCTTGACTGTGCTCGCACCTGCAGAGCTTACGGTTACAAGTATTCGGCCATGAGGGACAATAACTGTAACTGCGGCCTGCAGCTCCCGGCTGCTGCTGCCCCGAACTCGGACACTTCGGCTTGCAATGCTCAGTGCAGTGGTGATAGTACTCAGACCTGCGGCGGTGGCCTTAACGCCCAGGTATACCTTGATCCCTCCTTTGCCGCACCGGACCAGGTGCCCATCACGCCTCGTAATGCGGATTTGGGTTCTACCTACAAGCATCTGGGCTGTTATTCCTCTCGCGGATTCGCCACACAAGACGACGTTAGGGCCAGGCCACTCGTTGATGACATCGAGACTTGTTTCGAAACCTGTGCCGGTTTGGGTTATCCTCTTGTCTTTGGTGCCAGGGAAGGGTAAGTCGATTCCAACCTACCGCTCCCTAGGGGCCATGTGATTCGCACTAACCGACTAAATGTGTCTAGTGCACAAATCCGATGCCAGTGCGGTACAAACTTTCACTCCGGCGACTATCGCATTCCTCCATCGAGTCTTCCAAACCCTGGAGACTGCAACGCTCTCTGTACAGCCGATGACACGTGAGTTCAACATACCTTTACCCATACTTTCTCCCGCATGGTCTAACGCTTCTCAACAGGAATGGAGACTGTGACCCCTTGACCCAAAAGTGCTGTGGAAGGAATGAGCACTATCCCGTTTACGTCAGTTCTGAACTACAGGGATGCTATGTCCCGAGGATGCCGGGGCTCAAGCAGTCAGCCGACCAGGCAGGTTTCACCTGCTACAACCCACCGTCCAGTCTCTTGGGCACTCCCAAGGTTCTTACTACCTCGCTATCGAGCGTGAACCAGGATAACATCATCGTCTCAAGGCCAGCACTCGTCCGCCCCTTGACCGTTACCACGGGTACACAAACTTGGTACTTGAATGGGTGCTACGGCAATGTTCCTGCACAGGTTCTCGACCTCTCTGCAACGTCTGGCCAGATTATTTCGGATCTTGCCACTGGTACACTCGAGGAGTGTGCGCGCAGATGCAGTTCGGACACTACCTTCAACTACTTTGGCATGGTCAACGGCAGGTGAGTAGTGCACTTTAGACTCCACTGACAGAAAGATACTAAGTCAAACATTTCGCCAGGGACTGTTACTGCTCAAACTCTCTTCTGACTCCTGGTCAAGTCGATGATATGGGAACTTGCCGAGTCCCTTGCAAAGACGATGCCACGAGAAGTTGCGGCGGTGCAACTACACCTGTCGTCTATTCTCTGAGCCAGAGTGGCGTGTACACAGAACGCCTGGCGAACATCGGTGCCGGTTTTCCGACATACACTTGTACACCCAGTAAGCCATTCACCTCCTTCCGTGTTGCTCAGTAATTAATGGTTCTTCGATTAGGCCGACGTGTCTCAAATGATGAGGCAGCTCCAATCAGTTGCCCAGATGACAATGGGGTTTCTATTACCACTGCTCAAGACAAAATGTACCATGTCGATTGTGGTATCGAATATCCCGATGGTGACCTAGGCACAGTTATTGTTGACAGCTACGCTGAATGTGCTGCGGCTTGCGATACCACCACCGACTGTGTTGGGTTTATCTATCAGCATGGCCCTGCCAATAGCAACGGCCTTGACGCACCGTGCTACCTCAAGCGCGAAGGAGCAATAACTGCTGCTGTTTCAGCCGACATGGGTAACTGGGGCGGGAGATTTACTGGTTTCGCAGATGGCTCCAGTAGCGGTTCAGACTCTGGCACTGGCAGCGGTTCAGACTCCGGTAGTGGCACAGACCCTGATAGCGGTTCGGGCTCCGGCAGTGGTACAGACCCTGATAGTGGTTCGGGCTCCGGCAGTGGTACAGACCCTGATAGTGGTTCGGGCTCCGGCAGTGGCACAGACCCCGATAGCGGTTCGGGCTCCGGTAGTGGCACAGATCCTGATAGCGGTTCGGGCTCCGGTGACGGTTCTGATCCCGGCACTGGCAGTGGTTCAGGTTCCGGTGACGGTTCTGATCCCGGCACTGGCAGTGGTTCAGGTTCCGGTGACGGTTCTGATCCCGGTACTGGCAGTGGTAGCGGTTCAGGCTCCGGTGACGGTTCTGATCCCGGTAGTGGTAGTGGCAGCGGTTCTAATACCGGCAGTGGCAGCGGTTCAGGCTCCGGCAATGGTTCAGGCTCCGGCACTGGCAGCGGTTCCGTTGTAAACGCTATTTTTGACAAGGTCTTTGGTCCAGCCTTCCAAGGAGTCTTCAGCTCCTTCGGTAAGATTTTCGACAACAACCCATTCTTCAAGCCCAAGAAGCCAGCTGGCTCCACTCGTGCTGTCTCTACAAGCAACGATGATGTCCAGGATCTCGAGACCCTTGCCAGCGATCCCTCGGACAGCACCGCCTACCGTTCAGATGCCTTCATCGGTGATGTGCTCAGCAATCTTAACCTCGGCAGTTTGATGAGCGCTGTCCCGGGTCTTGAAGATGTTCTCGGTGGACAGGATCTCGGTAGCCTGATTCCTGGAAACATTCGCGCCCCCAATCCGGCCACACCGCCGATTACCGTCAACTTGGATGAGCTGGCTGGCCTAGCGAGCACTGTTCTTGCAGCGCTCAACACGCTTCCCAGCGACGTCGCCGCCCCTGGTCCTGTTGACACCGACTCGCTGATCACTCTTGCGGGTGCTATTACTGATGCGCTTACCACCGCTGCGGATGGATCCGGTCCTGGTGTGATCAATGGCAAGGACTTTGCTGGCATCCTCAACTCCGTTTTCGACTCAATAAACGGCATTGGAAGCATATTCCCTAAGAAGAGTACTAGCAGTAGCGCCCAGCCAAGCATGACTGTTGCACCTACTCAAAGCCTTCGAGCTAGGAACGTTGCCCACATTGGCCCCCATCCAACCGGAGTGCTCCCTCCTGGAAACGGCCCTGCGGAGGTGTGTGATATTGCGACCCTTGCCCTTCCGGCTAACATCTTCGCGCCTACTCCGCCCCCGGATGCCGGCCGCTGCATCCCCATCATCGGCTACTGGTACGTTGGCGAGACCACTTTGCTCCCTTGCTCCGAAGGCTATGGTGCCGGCGGCCCTCAGGAGACTGGTTCCCCTCAAGCACCCGGCTTCTCTGGCGGCCCCGGTGGTCACCCTTCCCCTCCTTCCCCCGCGGGCCCGCCGCCCGCCGTTGTGATTCCTGTTGCAGGCTCTATTGTTCTTACCCAGGAGCAATTGGACCATCTTCTCGAATCTACCAACATTGAGCTCGAGTGGACCAGCGAAGGTGAGCGTGTGCTCAACATTCCTGGAATTCTTGACATGAGCGACAGCCACAGCGACACCTTCAGGCTCCTGCTTGACCAAAGTTCCGACTCACTTTCCCGCAGCACCAATCAGTTTGAGATTCCCATCTCGGGAGAGGTTGGCCTTACGCAGTCACAGCTTGACAGCCTCCTCCAGGACTCGACCCTCGATATCTTCTGGAACAGCCAAGGAGCTAAAGAGTTGAATATTCCAGGAGTGATCAACTACAGCTCTTCTAGGAATGACACTTTTAGCCTCCGCATCAGCTCAAGCAATCACCATACCACGGCCAGCGCCAGTATCCCTGGTCCCACGGAGAGTTCCACTCCCCCAGCTGCTGGCGGGGAAACCCCGGATGGCTCTGCTGCTGACGAGGACGGCGGCTACGATGACGTTGAAGCGGAGCTTGACGCTCTCGATGCTCTGATCGCTTCGTTCGGTGACATCGATTTTGACGTTGGCGACCTTGACATCCCCGATATTGACGTGGAGGGTCTCGATTTCCCCACGATTCCGTCCATCGACACGGATGATCTCGACGTCGATGTTGATGATGTGGATGTTTCGAGGGTTGAAGAGCCTGAAGCTCCTGAGTCACCTGAGGTGCCTGATGTCGATACCATACCAGCACCGACCATTGATGTCGATGGTGAAGTTCAAGTGGGTCTGGATGATGAGTCTGGGGTTCCTGTCGTCGACCCAGTTGATGAGGCTACTTGACTTCTCAACGGAGTTTAATACTGTCTTCGCATGTCTATGGGGATGGATATTGAATTGGTGTCGATGCTAGGGAGAGGATGGAAATGGAATGGAGATGGTGGACTTTGGACAGTATACGAGGAACGCGGTCTTTTTTTGTGGCTCTTTGTTATTCTTCGACCATGGAGCTATTTTTTGTGCAATTGCTACGAGTTAAGTTGATGATTGCTCGAGCATGTAGTGGTTAATATGGATGAAATCAAATTGACTTTTTGGAGGATAAAATTGTTCCTGCCGTGCTTTGCCATTCTGTGTATGGCCTCTTCCATCATGCTTCCCTCCTCCCGCCGGCGTCTTCCATCCCAACTCTTGACTCAGTCATCTGCGAGATAGGCATGGGCCGGCCCTGTTGAAGGCTGCCGCTGTTGTCGTCATGCGAGACTTAGCCTTTGTCACTTTGATATGACCTCGTACTCAGCTTCTTCCAAAAACCACGCCTGCCAGTCGCGCCTTTCTCTCCCAGAAAAATAGTTGCATCGAATTGCTTCCGCCTCAACCCCACCTTCTTTCTTCCTCCTCCTCCTCCACCACGTACTTCAGGTCTACCTCATTTGCGCCTGGCGTCGACCTTTGGCCATATTCAACAGCATCTCTGCTGACGAACTTCTCGATACTACTAGTAATCTACATACAGATACTATCCTGCTTGACTCCCCTTTCCCGTGCCAATCTCACGTCCTCTTACTCTGCCCGGCTACATATCTCGAACTCGTACCGCGCCCCTCACCTGACTATCACGTCAATCCCATTCTCCTTTTCTGCCATGTATGAAAGTTGAGTCCCACTTCGTTCAATATCAAAACATACTGACCGTTCGCGTAATAGGCTCGCATTCAAGCTACCAAGCAGCTTCAAGGACAAGTAACAGCGTACAAAGGCTCACTCACGATGTCGCGAATCCCTCCTGACTCCGAATCGCTTCTGCGGCACGACCTCGAGGGCTTCTCGCGAGACCTACTTGGTCTTCATACCCGCTTTCAAGAAATGTTTCCGGTCCTCGCCAACTCCAGCGCGTCTGCCTCTACCTCGGCTGCAGCTCATAAAGTCAGCCAGGAGGTCATGGCGAAGGTCAAGCAGGAGGTCATGAACATCAAGCTTAGGGTCGATGACTTGCAACAAAGGCTTAATCCACAAGGGGGTGATGTCTATCGCAATTGGATCCAACCGTTGCAGGCAACGAACCACCGAGTTGAGGAAGAGATGGCGAGGATCAGGGAAGAGAACATGAAGAGACAGCAAGCTGAGGAGAGAATGAGGGGGGAGCTGTTCGTGGCGATTCACAAGATGCAAGCTGAAATCCAAGAGCTGAAGAAGGCGCGTAATCAGGGAAGTGTTGAGGAGATGGAAATGCAGCAGGAATATGGGTTCTTTCCGAAGAATCTGAGGGAGATGGATTCTCCGGACCATCGAAATCTCGCTGCCCCAAGGGAGCTGCCTTCTTTTACGGATGAAAACGTGCAGAGTTACACGTCGTCTGCACTGGTTCCGTTCAGCTCTCAGGTCGACAAGCACACAGATACTTCCAACACCAAGGAACTCGGCTTGGACTTGACCACTCGACCAGCTAACAGAGGACAACAAGGTGCAGCCAGTCCTCAAACTACACACCGGTATACAAGCAGCATTGATTCTGAGCATTTAATTTTCGTTAAGAAACGACGTACACACTCGGGCCGTCATCCTGGTACCCGTCTGGCATCAGAAAGTGACAGTGACAATGACAATGACCTGGAATCGACAACCTCGGCCAACAGAGGCCCTACCTCGCAGTTTTATCTCCGTCCAGGAAGATACGCCCAAGGCACGGCAGCAACAACAACAGCAACAACATCTCGTAGCCGCAGCCCTCGCCGCAGCGTCGACGCGGAATTTCGCGTCCGTGATCCTTCCCGGTTCGCGTCCAAGTCAGAGTCACACTCGGCCCGTCGCCGCTCTACCCCTTCCCTCTCCGCTAAAGACATTCTTCTCGATCATGAACTCGACGTCTCCTTCCTGTCCATTCCTTCCCGCTCGCAACCGTCCCGCCGGACCAAGACAGCCAACGAGCTGATTGATAGGCACCTCTCATTCATCCCCAATGGCTGGCGCACTATCATAGCCAACACGGCGAAACAGTTGAGCGCGGAGGATTGGGACCGCTCGGACGCGAGAGTGTTGAAAAAGCTAGAGGAGCACTGCCCGGCTTTCAGCAACTTGGAGGAAATTCTTCCGGATGTCAAGATGGCTGTGCCGGCTTTGAGAGAGTTGATGAGGGAATTGGGAAGACATCCTTGAGTGTCCTCAGGATGGGAATGTTCATCTGCGGGGGAAGATAATTCTTTGCTTAAACACTTGCTCAAAAGACGAAATGACGACAAGTAAGATGGTACCTGTAAGTATAGCGAGAAGATCACATGTATGGGAATTGAGGGACTAGGTGCTGTATGGAAGATCATATGGTTCATGTTGAACGATGGCGTTGATGTCGTCGTCGAGGAGGAACACCCCTTTTTCGGGACCCTAACCCTATCCAATGGAGGCGGATGTAGCCAGGGAGCAGACTGTACGATTGAAAGTTGAAAGTTGATCAACCTGAGCCATAGGGAACCAGCTGGATATTGCTTCAATGAATAGAGGATTCATGTACTTTAAGTTCTTTGCAAGAAAGATTCGCCCACTATGATATCTCAAGTTTGATGTCAAACGACACCCTCAGGGATCAGCGGTGGTGTCTTGCGTAAGTAGTGTAGAGGTACCGAGTCCACAGCGGATAACTTGGCGGGAAGGCGGGGTTCTGGGAGCGGCTCTAGTGCTGCCGAGTTGCCCCCAATAGCACTGCACTGCCCCGTCCTCTTTCTCGCCGCAGCGTCAGCTGTGTTCGAGTTGTCCGACGGTCTCCAGCTGCGCCACTCCCTCCCGCCACGGCATCTTCCCGCCTTCCACTTCCATCCTCGCTCACCTTTGGTCATCGATCCATCGTCTTATCTGACTTCAGTTCGTTATTACAACCGACTCCATCATACAATTTCCGAACCTGCCTGCCTAGCGGATTCGCTTGCAATAAAGTCTACTCATACTACCTACGGAAAACAAAGTGTTTAATTTTTCGACTGTCCGGAGAGCAGCATCATTCACATCAGAAGAGAAACCCAACGCCCGCGCTCGTCTATCGCCAGACACCTCGAACCACAATAGTCATGGTGTCAGTAGACCGTCAGCGCATCATCGAGACCAACCGGTCTCTGCGTCTCATCAAAAATGTAAGCGAATATCGCTGAATAGGCGGGCAGACCGTCCTTTCCCGATCCATCTCTCCCTCACCTTCAGTTTAGTTGGTAGTAATCCAGCCCATCCACTAACACCCCGCCCTGCCAAAAACAGGAACTAGAATCCCTCCTCGAGAAGGGCATCATAACAGACGACGCCTTTGACAGCATCACCTCCCTCCTCCCCGCTGAAGCCAGTCTTTCCAGCACATCCTCCACCCCCGTCCCAGCCCCGCGTGCTGCTCCCGCACACGCCGCCGCTGCTGCTCCAGCCGCCCAACCTCATGCTACCACCACCGGCGGCGGCGTCAGCTCCATCGCCGCGCGCTTCCAACAGAACCCTCCTCCAGCCGTCACCTCCGCCGCCAATGCCTTCTCCAACCTCTCTCTAAACAACAACAACAACAACAACAATAACCCTTCCCCAGCCCCAACTCCGGCCGCGGCACCCCCTTCATACTCCCAATCAACCAACAACACCACCGTACCCCCCTTGCCAGGCCGCTCCCAACCACCAACACCCGCCGTAGCACCCCCCACAAAGCCGGTCATAGCCCACTGCAAAGCCCTGTACAAATACGACGCCTCGGACGCGCGCGACTGCTCCTTCGACAAAGGCGACAAGATCCAAGTCTACGAGTACATGAATGCCGACTGGTGGATGGGGCGGTGCGTCCGTACAGGGCAGGAAGGCATCTTTCCCAAGAGTTATGTGGAGGTGGAGGCGGCGCCTGTGCAGAGTACGAATGCGTGGGAGGGTCCACACAACGAGAAGTCTGGAGGATATCCGGGAGCTGGGGGTTACGGTGCGGGTGGTCCTGGGTATGGACAGCCGGCGGGTATGTACGGCGGGGGAGGATATGTGGCGCCCCCTCCGGGACCACCGCCGGCTGGACAGGGACAGGTCTATGATCCTAACGCTCCACCGCAGGGGGAGAAGGAAGAGAACAAGTTTGAGAAGCATGGGAAGAGTATCGGAAAGAAGTTTGGTAATGCAGCGGTCTTTGGAGCGGGTGCTACGATGGGCGCTAATTTGGTTAATTCCATCTTCTAAGGGGTGGATAGGGCAGAGGTTGAAGGTGGTAAGACCAGGACTGCTATTGAAAGGTGCGAAGAGTTATCACGGCGTTCCATTCACCTTTTCTTTATTTAGACTCATCTTCATATGTGTGAGGCGTAGAGCGAGAGGGATTCGGTACTCTGCAGCTACTGGAGATATAACAAAACACAACTGTTCATCACATATCTTCAAACGACACCGCATGTCATACACACTCCCTCTCCTGTTACTAAATGAGAAAGTTTCTAGATACACCTCACACCACCCCATCCTCGTTTACAGATCACCAGAGTGCGACTGACCGACATCCTCCCCATCCATATACGGCTCCAACCTAGCCATCAACTCCTCGACGCTCATCTCCCCAACCTCCTCCTCTTCTTCCTGTTGTGCATCACCACCATGATCCCTGCGCGGCGGAATCAGCACGCTCGAAACAACATGAATGACGCCATCCGCCGCCGGTCCATCCAACACACTAGGGCGGTTAAATCCATTCACCACCATGGTCGCATGTCCCTTCCAACTCTTGATATCCACGCCCAATCTCGCGTCCTCGCTCAACAACGTAGCCAAGTCGTAGTGGGTCGGCGGCGGGTAATAGTTGTAATCCGCATCCTGCTGCTCATCAGAGTCTCTTTTATCATCATTATCATCATCATCATGATGACCAGAACCGGAGCCAGCCTTGTAATAAGCATCCGTATACACCGTGTGCTCAGGAACAAAGTGATACTTGAGTATCGCCTTCAAGTACTTCTTCCCGGGTTCCGTGTTGAACAGGAAAGCGTTAAGATGGGGGCCGAGACGGGCAAAGGCGCGGTTGCTCGGGGCGAACAAGGTGAGGCCTTTTCCTTCCTTTTTACCTCCTCCGTGATGCTTCTTCCTATTATTATCGTTATTGTCGTCGTTGTCGTTCTCATCATCATCATGTCCATGTCCCAACTCCTTGCCAAGTCCCGTCTTCTCCAGCGCCAGGGAGAAAGTGCTAAACAAACTCGGCAAAAGCGATACCGCCTTGAGCGCGGGCGGAGGGGGGAACAAGATGCCGTCGACGGCGTGGATTATGCCGTTGGAGGCGTAAATGTTGGGCATGATGACGCGGTTGACAAAGTTGACGCGGATGCCGCCGTGACCAAAGAAGGGGGGGCTGATGGAGAGGCGAAGACGTTGGGGGCGGTGGTCGAGGAGGGGAGAGTGAAGTTCGGTGGGGAGGGTGTGGAGGGAAGACAAGAGGAGGGGGGGGAAGGTTAGGGTGTTGAAGAGGTCTTGTTGTTCTTCTGCTTCTTGTTCTTCTTGGGAGTGATCGTGGTCATCATGGTGACCACGACGATGATGGTGAAAGATGGGTCGCGGGTAAGGGAGGATGTGGTGTTGGAGAAGGTGGCGGACTACTTCCTCCGGGGGAGGATGGTCAGGATGGTGAGGGAACCTTTCAAAGGCCTTGTCGGTGGGCACGAAGATGGTGTAGTGATGCTTGTTGTTGCCGTCGGTATTGTTGAGCAGCTTCTTGATATCGTCGTGCTCGTCGATGATCTTGACGAAGCGCTCGCTGTACTTGGACTCTTTGATCAGTTCGTAGATAGACTTGTCGGTGTCGCCCGGGGGGTGGTGACCGTGATGGTCATGGTCATGATCATGATCATGGTCATGGTCATGGTCATGGTCATGGTCATGGTCTCGGTCACGGTCGTGGTCTCGGTCACGGTCGTGATCGTGATGCTTGTGATCCTTGTAGAAAGCAGCTTCAAGCTCCTCGATGACGTGTTTCTCGATTAGAGAGGAGTAGAGGGAGGAAGCAGAGTCGTCCCAAGTGTCTTGGACTTTGGAGAGAACGTTATCTCCAAAATTGTCCTCGACAATGGGCAGGAGTTGTTTTTCCTTGACTCCCAGGAAAGGCACGTATAGTGCAGCGGCTCCAGCCGCAAAGAGGGGGAGGAGTTGCTGCTTCATGATCAAGTCCCTAAACTTTGTTTGGAGAAGCAGGCGAGGATAAAGATTCGATCTTTCAGTGAACAAGGAGACATGAAGAGAAAGAGAATTTATACGTGAAGCTCTTCACACATAGAAATACCTTCTATTATGACTTACATGCACATTGAGTGTTTGTAAGCATGTTGGATGATGACGACGACGACTCAACAATGCAATGCCTCTTCTCCAACTGTTCCAACTGTTTCGGACTGTGCGTTTGAACTGTCTACGCGCGGCGGCCATCATCCCAAATGTCTGCAATGAGTGCTTCAACCAAAGATCTGATGACAAGACGGCACAAAGAGGGGTTAGCGAATGCCTTATTGGCTCAGTCAAGATCTCGGGTCAGTCGGTGCTTTGTGCAACCATCGATGCTGGCGTCATGTTGTTCGCTCTCTCCTAAGCACGGCCTTCATCCCATCGAGACAGTGTTCATTATGGTTACGAACCGTCCTTGCCTTTGACGGGATGGCATCAAAGTAAAGATGAAGTCTCGCCGACCGTAGCCGCTTGCCAGCCAGACTAAAAACAGAGCCTCCGGAACTATGGTCCCGGACAGTGCCGTCATGCATTATGCTTCCCCCATCGCGGGAAGTCTGGGGAAGGCGGGATGTTCCCCGCAAGAAGATGACGGCGCCGCGGTATCGCCACTTACACTAGCGGAGACCCCCACGAGGCTATCTACCTAATCGACAGCTCTAATCGAAAGGGCTATAGCCTCCTCCACTGTTTCAGCAGCACGGATTCCTCCATATTCCCTAATAAGAACGCCAAAAAGTATTGGTAGAAGAACGGTTTATGAATTGGAGAAAAGGCAGAAGCTGTCATCTCGGACCGAAAGCGAACTGCCAGGTCGCGGACCTCTCCGAGAAGCCAACATCAACGCCCACAGGTATGCCCGGCCACGTTATGCGGCCAGGAGGGCTGAGGCTCAGTCGCTTCCACGTCGGACATTCTAGATAATGAGCATATGCAACCCAACAATTGCCTGTGTATGAATGATATGATAGGAACCAAACGGATTGAGATCCGAAATCCACCTCTCTTGCTGAAATCGGATACATATTAAGGTCGCCCTCGTTCACCTTGGCGGCCCAGCATTGTTCAGACAGAGGCATCTGCTCGGCAAGCTGTGCCACATGCGTACACTACAGCTAGCTCACTGTGGCATCGTGGCACCGCTCTCATTGGATCGGTTGAGCTGGCCACAGAAGTGTAGACCGCGAGGGGGATGCCGGCTGTCGATTCGCTACCAAGCTCTTTCCCCTCTCTCTCATCGTCTCAGTCTTTCATCATCTCAGTCTGACAAGCGGGGTTGGGTTTGGATTCTTAGATGGCCGGATCCTTTTAGGGCTGATGGGTTTTCTCTCTATTGTCCGTCACTAGGTAACTTGATAATAGAGACGGACCAACAGATAATTCCCTCAGCGGAGTGATGAAAGACATGTCCAGTAGTGGTCCATTTGAAATTCCCGTCACCAGTAATTTCCATAATTACGGTAATAGAATTGAAAAAATGCTCTCATTTTTACCATTTTTACCAGTCATGTGACAGATTTGTCGTATTGTATGCTGTTAGACTGGCCAAACGACCGGGTGAAAATTGTAAAACCTTGAGAAATTGTGAAAATCGTATATCGTTGTTGAGATGGGCTGGCGATGAGGAGAGTCGAGGAGGCTTGTCGGTATGTTGAGAGTGTAAAGATGGCCCAGTTGATGCCCAGTATGGGGAGGGCACGGACGGTGGCACGGACCATTGAATTAGCGGTAATTACTGAAAATTGAAAATTACTGCAAAAATGCTAGATTTACCGTATATATCGAACACTAATGTCCAGCCCCTGAACTGAAGTGTTGATATTGGCGTTCACGAACAACATGGGTACAATGCCCTGGGGTCCACTGGGACAACTGAACACACCGTTTTCGTCAGCAGAAGGAAACATGAGTTTGTGGGGTTCAGGAGGACATCGCAGGGTTGGCCTGGTTGGGACTTGGGAGAGCAGAGAGGGAAGTGGAAGATTGTGAATTTTTCGAAATGTGAAGAGACTCCAGCAGACAAGGGAAAGTGCAAGAAGAAGACAGGGAGCAAGCAAGCACAGCCAGCACAGCCAGCACAGCCATCATGATCTTTTCACTGGCCGCTCACAGTACACTAGAGGTCGGTAGTTACCTGCCTATGAGGTAACGAGCCAGCTGTCGCCCGCTGTTTTCGGGTCCTCCCACTCTTTCCGCCCACCCGTTGCGACGATAGATTTTAACATTGTTTAACCCATTCATGGCGCTGAGCTGTTAGTGAACTAGCGTGGTCCTCTGTCTCGCCTACACAGGCCGTTGAGGAGGTGGAGCAATGAACCCTGGACCGGGCCTCCCGCCCATGCTTCTTCCATTCTCGAAGACTGGATCGCGCCGGGGTCCAGCTTTCTCGTCCCCGCCGGGTTTCCTCGTCGTCCCGATGGGCGGTGGACAAATTGTTTCTTCCCCAGTGCCCGCCGCCTCGCTTGACAAGTCGTCGACTTCCCACCAGCGAGGAAAGAACTCAACCAGACGGAATGAGTCTAGGCCTGACTTCTACCACTTTCTGATGAGGCTGAACACAAAAAGACCAACCGTCGCAATCTAATTGTAGGGCTCCAGCTTACCGACTGGATAGTCTCCTTCTTGCTTTTCTCAACGACATTTTCTACTTGTGTCATCTAATAATCCGGTCGGTCGAGCATCGTGACCTACAATACCGCATCAAATCGATCTCTTACTGTCGACCAATAATCAATCTCATCGATTCGACTTACTCAGCCCACCAGATCTTTCACTATTGAAGCTATTCCGTCATCAATTTTTGGAAAAAAAAAAAGGAGAATCGCGCGTGGTGGTCCTGTCGGGTTGTCCGTGGAGCTGGAGCTAGCGCCAGACTTTCCCGTCCGCAGGTCTCTCGATTGGGTCAGGCACAGCCTCGGTGCAGTGCTGTGGTGGATTTGCGACAAACCACCGCCAAACAACATCTCTTGCGATTAACCTTGCAACTTGGATCACATCGACGACTTCTACGGTAGCTAGCATCTCGGGCGCCCTCACATTTCGGACTGCGGCGAATCGCATTGGATCCCGATTCTCTGGTTTACGGAATCGACAGTCAGCCTTCCCAACAGCCCAGACTGTCACTTGAGTACCATTCCATTCAGGACAACGCCAATATGGCAGCGTCCCTGTCTGCGCGGGCCGTGCTCACCCCGCGCAGCAGCTCACTCTCTGGAGGAGCCATCGCCGGGGCTGTGGTCGGCTCCTGCATTGGGTTTTTCCTGATTCTCCTATGTCTGTTTCCTTTTGTTGTGCGTGCGCGGAGACGCCGGGCCGAGAAGCATGGTGATATCGGCCATGCGGAGAAGGGGCAGGCCCCCGGAGGCCCCATTTTCCACCACAGCGCCGGGAGCACGCCCAAGCGGCTCTCCGGGGAAGGGGAAGGCTATGCTCCGGACACCCCGCCGCCTGGCCTTGCATCACCGGCCACCTTCATCCCGGGCGACGGTCACCACCCCGATCAGAGGGCGGCCTCCCATCATCATCAGTCCCAACACACCCCTGCCCTCCCACGGGGCGTAGGTATACAACAAGGGCTGCCGTCCTCCATATCGCCGCCCTTTCAACCACCTTCACCAATCACATCAGCCACAGCGAGCCTTCAAGGAGACCAACCTGGTCCCGATTCGACACGAACAAGAGTGGCATCGATAGCGACAACTGAAGCCGAGAGCCACCGCGAACTGAGCCTTGACGACTCCCACGGCTTGAGCCCTCCCACTCACCAAATACCACCTGCCGTTTCACCTGGAGGCATCACTGAGGAGCCGGAAACCTTTGAACGCCCCACTCAACGTCACTCCTTCCCTCATCTCCCCGAGTCCATCAGGAACTTCATTTACAGGCGTCAGTCAGGTAACAGCCGGAGGGATAGCAAGCGATCGACCCTTGGAGGCACCGCTGGAACACGGTCGCCTTCGCTCGTTACCACTACCGACTACCCGGTTCCAACACATCAACCTGAACCTGTCCCACCAGTCTTCGAGGTTGACACTGAGGCGCCAGGAGCTGCCTACGAATACTATCACGGTCACCCATATTTAAGCAGCACCAGCCAACCTTATCCCAACGACTCTTCTACACCTCCACCACCGCAACCTACCACTCTGCCCACCACTCTCCTCCGTCAAGACACCCTTCTTGCCTCGTGGGAGATCCAGCAAGGCATCAACCGCACCGACAGTTTACCACCTACTACCATTGTCTCTGACCTCCCAAGTCCTCGTGTGGATTTGACTGTTGGGCCAACCGCCAGTCCTATGGAAATGATGAGGCCTACCAACCAAGCCGAGAGCGCCTGGGCTGTAAACCAGGAGATTATCAAGTTGGAGAACACCCCGCCCGCTCCTGCAGTCAGTGCCTTCTCCCCCCAGACTATTCCGGCCGAGTTCGCCTATTCCCAGCAGATGCAAAGCCCCCAGGAACAGTACGGCCCGGAGCCACAGTATAGCGAGTATACGCATCTACCAGAAATTCAGCAAAACGGCCAAGACTTTGATCTTGACTCAGCTGCCTTGTACCCCAACGACGGCTTTGGTCTACATGACATGTCCGATATCTCTACTCCTCCACCATTGTCCGAGTCCTCAAGGCAGAACACCCCCAGCACTCGGCTCACATACTCGCCATCGCCCAGGCCAGACTTTGATCAGAACACCAACTTTGCGCCGCTCATGGTTCCCAACTCCCCAGCCAACTTTTCTTCTTCTACCGGAGGTTTCTCATCAAACCAGGGCATGTCACCCGGCGCATTGTCGGTCAATGACTATTCCTCGTCACAGGGAATGTCACCAGGAGGATTGTCGGTCAACGACTTTGGAGCCCAAGTGATGTACTCCCAAGGCCTATCTCTTTCGAGCATCCCTCAGTCCGGCATGTCCCCGACAACACCATCATCCAGCGGCGCTTCACCTAGAGTGTTTGCTTGCGACCAATGCCACCGTGAATTCGACCAAATTCACAAGCTGAAGTGAGCATCTACGCCTCCTCATCCTATCTTCCTACATATACAGATCACTAACAGACCTATAGCCATCACAAACGCTACCACGAACGCCCACACGAGTGTACCCACCCTGGCTGCACCATGCGGTTCGGCACCAAGACCCATCTGGACCGCCACATTAACGACAAGCACAAAAAGACTCGCCAGTTCCACTGCACGGTGCCCGAGTGTCCCTGGTCAAGACAGGGTGGCCGCTCGTTCCCCAGGAAGGACAACTGGAGGAGGCACATGATCAACAAGCACCAAATCACGCCTTTGCAAGAGCCAATTGAGTATAACGATGTGGCCATGGGCGACGCATGATTAATCGATGGTCTAGTCTACGGTACTCGATAGAAGGACGCAGTGTACGATGGGTCTGCTTGGGTGGCATGCTCTTGCCCTTGATGAGCGAGCTGGATTAATGTGCTGAAGTGATAGAAAACGCCAGGCAAGCGTTTGATAACGGGCCTTGATGGTCGTTATGAGTGCGCCAAAGAAGATCAGGGGACTGTGATACCCACCTTTGTTCGGGCATTGTATGCCTTTTTTTCTTTTCTACCAGCATTTTGGATGATGATGATGAATGGTCTGGACATTAGATCTTGAGAAGTACAGACTTGCCTTTTTTTTTATATCTTTTTCATTGTGGAAAGCGAGAAACGCCATTTATAGTATATAATGCATCTATATGGAGCGCGTGGCTTTAGCGTTTGTCTTTAATACGTTACCAAAAGCCATTGGGCATCATCTATAACCCACATAACCATGGACTTTGGTCTTCTCATCTGAAGATCTATATCTCGTGAACTTCCTTTCTTCACTCGTGTATGCCACTCTGCGATCCACTAAATCCCTTGGCTCGTAGCCTGTGAACCTAGTATACGGCTCACGGGGGTTCGTCGCTTCCTCGGGGGTATCAAACTTCGCTGGAGGAGGAATCTCTGGACTCAAACCCGCTTTTGCTGATGACTGAAAATCACTTCTGGCTGGAAGAAAGATTCGGCCATGCCACTCTCGCAGAGTCTTGGCATCAGAGATTTTCCACCTCCTGCCTCTTGCGAAAAAGTGTCTTCGCAGCGCTCTCAGGCCAGACACCCAGCCGCTGCTGGCCATGCTCTTCCTTGTTCTCATCACGATCATTGTTCCCTTTAACCCATTTCACCTTGATTCCTCAACGCATCTCCCTAACCAACTTCTTCACCAACTTCCTCTGCGCCTCCACCCCCAGTCCCTTTTCATCCGTCTCCCTCAACGCCCTTCCCACCACCACCACCGTCTTGACACTCTCACTACCCACCCACACCTTCCCGTTTCTCCCCACCGCCGTCTCAAACGCCAACCCTTCCTCGCCCAGCGCCTCCAGAACCTCCACTTTGCCCTCCTCCCTGCTTTTCGCCATCAACAACCTCCTCGCAAACCCAAGACTGACATCAAACACCATGCCGTCCTTCAAGGGGCCCAGCCCATCCGCTTCGCCGGTCGAAGAGTTGACGCATTCCAGCTCTGGGTCCATGTGCCGGTTGGCCAGAGACACACGGGCGTAGACGAGCTCGCCAGACGCCAGTTGGGGACGGGTCTTCTTGGTGGCTGACTCGAAGGCGAGGTGCGGGAGTGTGGCGTTGGGGGTATAGGGCGAGAGGGAGACGTAGTAGAAGTCGGTGGCGGAGCGGGCGATTTGGCCGATGATGAGGTCGCCTTTGGAGGGTATGTACTGATCCTCAAGTTAGCTTAAGGTGAAAAGGAAAAGTAAAGGAAGGGAGGAAGGAGGAGAAGAGAGAGGAAGGAAGGAGTAGGGGAGAGGGAAGAAGAAGAGATATATGTGGTGGTGGTGGTGAAAACGTACGCGACCGCCATTGTATTCTATCCACATGGAAGTTTTGCGATGGTCGACTACTAGCTGGCCGGCTACCGTGGGGACGATTTCGCTAGGAGGAATGTGTCGCAACCCGGGACCGAGACGGAGAGGGTTCTTCTTGTGGGTGGGAATGAGGGAAGGGTCGATGGTCTCGCCCGGGAGGACGACGAGGGGCGATTCTGTTGACATGGTGATGCTGTAAGTCTTGTGGTGTGTTGTATCGGGAGTGGTGGGTTGTTTGGTTTGGAATTCGAGGTTCGGTTTGCGGAAAGCTGTATTAAATAGGTACCTGTGCTGTCGCGGTTCTGTAGTAGTGTAAGTTTACTTTGGGAAAGTTGCGAAGGCGAGGCCAGCCCCAAGCCTTGAATGGTGGGGCAGCTGGCTGGGCTAGTTGGGGGAGTACAATAAGGGTACTTGAAGAGCTGTCTTAAGAATCGACCTTGATAGTTCATACCACATATTGAAGTCACTTGGTCACAAACTGTAGTATATTTACGAGATATAGACATCGACACACCAGTACTTAAACCAGATGTGTCTCCAAACCTTGTCGACGACAGCATATGTAAACAAACAGCGAGTACACCAATGGTGCCCACCACAAGTGACGATGTGGGGCCAGCAAGCATCCCGTATCGATTAGCGTCCGCCTTCCAAAAATTTCTGAGCCCCCACACGCTGGACGACATTACCGTCCGTCGTTCGTGGTCTGGTTCCTGTCCTGCCTTGTCGATAGCAGTGCTTTTCGTTGACTTTTGCGCTTTCTTCCCTTTCCTATCTCCATCCTCTAGCTCTGTCTGTTTGATTCTTTCCGCTTCAACCCACACCCTCACACCATCCGCAAAAATGAGCGAATCCAAGGTCAGCGTTGCGCCCAGCGAGCGCACCGTCATCGGTATCACCTTTGGCAACTCCAACAGCTCCATCGCCTGCACTGTCGACGATAAGGCTGAGGTTATCGCCAACGAGGATGGCGGTACGTGCCATACCCTTTCTTTTTCCCCATGCGACCGCTCCTAACAGACTCTCGTCGTACAGACCGCCAGATCCCCACCATCCTATCCTACGTTGACGGCGACGAGTACTACGGCCAACAGGCCAAGAACTTCCTCGTCAGGAACCCCAAGAACACCGTCGCCTACTTCAAGGACTTCCTCGGCAAGGACTTTGCGGCCGTCGACCCTACCCACAACCACGCCTCTGCCCACCCTGAGGATGCCGATGGCACCGTTGCCTTTACCGTCCAGGAGAAGGAGGAGGGCGAGGCTTCCAAGCTCTCTGTCTCCGAGGTCTCTACCCGCTACCTTCGCCGCCTGATCGAAGCCGCCTCCGAGTACCTTGGCAAGAAGGTCACCTCCGCCGTCATGACCGTCCCCACCAACTTCTCCGACAAGCAGAAGGAGGCCCTTCTCGCTGCCGCCGCCGCCGCCAACCTCGAAGTTCTCCAGCTCATCAACGAGCCCGTTGCCGCTGCTCTCGCCTACGATGCCCGCGCCGAGACCGAGGTCCAGGACAAGATCGTTGTTGTTGCTGACCTTGGTGGCACCCGCTCCGATGTTGCCGTTGTCGCCAGCCGCAGCGGCATGTACACCATCCTCGCCACCGTCCACGACTACGACTTCCACGGCACTGCCCTCGACAAGGTTCTCATTGACCACTTCTCCAAGGAGTTCATCAAGAAGCACCAGGTCGACCCCCGCGAGAACGCCCGCTCCCTCGCCAAGCTCAAGGCTGAAGCCGAGTCCACCAAGAAGGCCCTCAGCTTGAGCACCAACGCCAGCTTCAGCGTCGAGTCCCTCGCCAACGGCATCGACTTCACCAGCTCCATCAACCGCCTCCGCTACGAGACCATTGCCCGCTCCGTCTTCGAGGGCTTCACCCGTCTCGTCGATTCCGCCGTCAAGAAGGCTGGCCTCGATGCTCTCGACATTGACGAGGTCATCCTGTCCGGCGGTACCTCCCACACTCCCCGCATCGCCGCCAACCTCGGCTACCTCTTCCCCCAGACCACCAAGATCCTCGCCCCCTCCACCACCCCCGCCGCCATCAACCCCTCCGAGCTTAACGCCCGCGGTGCCGCTCTTCAGGCCAGCTTGATCCAGGAGTACGAGGCCGAGGACATCGACCAGTCCACCCACGCCGCCGTCACCACCGTCCCTCACGTCACTAATGCTATTGGTGTCATCTCCCTCAACGAGGCCGGTGAGGAAGTCTTCGTCCCCGTCATCGCCCCCGAGACCGCCGTCCCCGCCAGGAGGACAATCCACGTTGCCGCCCCCAAGGATGGCGGCGATGTTCTCGTCAAGATTGCCGAGGGCAACACCCACATCAAGGTCACCAAGCCCGAACCCAAGGTCAAGGACGAGTCCAAGGCCGCCAAGGTCGAGGATGCTGATGAGGAGGGTGACGACTCTGACTTCTCCGATGACGAGGAGGAGGAGGAGGAGAAGCGCGAGAAGGTATGGAAGATTGGCTCCACCCTTGCCGAGGCCGCCGTCCGCGGTGTCAAGAAGGGCGGCAAGGTCGAGGTCACCATCCTCGTTGATGCTAACCTCTCGGTCACCGTAACGACGAGGGAGGTTGGTGCCAAGACTGGTGTCCGTGGTACTTTGAGCGCTTAAGCCAATGAGATTTAATTAGAATACAGTGGAGAGTTTTCTTGTAAAAGGGTTCAAGTGTTGAAAGTTATTATACCTGTGTGTGTGTGTGGAGAAAGCACCTTGGCATGGTGTGGTGGGATAACAGGATTTTTTTTGTGTGCAAAAAGGAACCCAACTACTGGTATTTACTGGGCAACTTAAAATAGAGGCGAAATGATGAATTTGATGACCCTATTAGACAATACATACAGGAAGCGAAGCAAGCAAGGGATGATTTTCAGAACTTGAAGATAATCTATGAATGCGACTTTAAGTTTCATACATACCCAGTTGGGAAGACGGGCAACGCTGACATATTCCACATCATTTTTGATCAGAGGCATATATATACACAAGTGCTTGCTGGCATGTGTGATATCAATCTCTCTTTCCTGTTACATAGCTAAGTAGATGCTAATCAAAAATAAAAAAAAATGGTAAATCTCGCAATGGGTATATCCTCCAACAGTTCGCACATCCTAGATTGATAATCATTCCTTTTTTTTTTGTTTTTTTTGTTTCTGTTTTTCCTCCTAGATAAATACCCGAACATCCAAATCCTCCTCCACTAACTTCCTTTCTCCTCCTTCTCGATTTATATATTTCCCCCAGTCCCTTGGTCCCCAACCCCTTCCCGCCTGTCTTCCGTTGTCCTCCTTTTTCAAGCCCAGCTTTCCACCTACGTAACGTTTGTAGATCCTCCTCCCAACGGACAAAGAAAGAGATGATGGGTCGGAGAATGCTCCCGATGTGGCCATACAAGAAAAGATATACAAAAAAAAAGAGGGGGGTATAGAAAATCGTCAACTTCGTAGCAAGGAAAAGAGTAATGTAAATAAATGATGGTATGGGAAAGATGATTCACTACTGGTAAAGGAGATAATGGGTACTATGTGTGATTTGGACGTCTTACGCTCCGTGTGATGTTATGCAGAATGCTGAATGCTGCTGAGAGATGATGATGGTGATGATAAATGGACATATGAGAGAGCTGATGAGTGATGCTGAATGATTTTCCTGACAGTCTGCCGCTTGATGGATGGTTTGGTTTGGCGGTGGTAGTGTTGTTGTATTGATAAGGGTAATCGTTGTAAATTGTAAGTAGGTAAGCTTGTTGAATCGTAGGGGTATCGTAGTTGGTACGTATTTGTTAAGTATAATGATGAGATGAAAAAAAAAACAAAAAGGGGGGGGAGGGAGATTGTCCGCTTAAGCATCAGCGCGTAGTACGTGGTGATACCGGCGGTGATTCTTCCCCCGGAGCCGCCAGCCGGGTCCGCGACCTGTACCTGCGAAGCTCAGCTTCGAACCGAGCTTGTGTCGGGGTCACCACCGGCGTCACCGTCTTGGGTGTTGAGGGTAATTCGATCTCGGTGGTCTTGATGTTGTCGTTGTTGTTGCTGAGAGGCCACCCATCCTCCTTCATTTCAGCTTCAGCCTTGGGTCGTGCGAGCTCAATGACTTCTTGCTCTTGCAGATGAGCGGCAGCTGTCGTCTCCTCTTCTTCGCTTTCAGTTTCCGTGTCGCTCTCACTCGCAGTCGCAGCAGGCCACTGCGGCACAGCCATGGAAGCGTACCGCATCCCAGTCTTCTTCTCCTGCTCTATCCTCAAAATCTCCACGCTAAGCAGCCATCTCTTCTGCAGCTTGACCTTCCTCTGGGCAAATGTGCGGGAGACGGCGTCTGCCTCATTGGCGAACTCGACGGCGAGGTCCTCGAGTTCTTCGGATTTCTTGTGGAGAAGGGCTTCCATCTCGTCTTCGTGGCGATCGAGTAACTGCTCCATCTTTTTGCCTTGCTTCTCGCGAAGCACGTTGATCTGGGCTTGGTGCCGTCTCTCCATGCCGTCGCGGATGCGGTATTGCTCGCTGAGCTGGTCGAGGTGTTTTTGGGTGACCTCCCTGGAAGGCATCTTCGAGTCCTGTAGGGCTTGGTCCTTCTCGCTTACTTCCTCAACTTGCGAAAGCGTCTTGCAGTAGGCTTCCATGTGCTTGAGCTGTATCTTGATGCTCCGTTCCGAAGCGTCCAGCGACGAGCGGAGTTCCATCTCGGCCTCGATCTGCCGGTCCTCGAGGTGCTGCTCTGTTTTCGCATGGCGCTCCTTCATTTTCTCTGTGAGCTCCGCGTACTTCTCCAGTAGCGCCTTCTTCTTCTCCGACTGCCTTGTCCGCATGTCTTTCCGCATCCTAGCCTCGTACGCCAAAACCCTGGACATTTCATGGTTTTGTTGTTCTCTTAGCGCCTGAAACTCCGCACTTTCTCGCGTCCTCCGTTCCGCTGCTTGTTGCGCCCGTCCCTCCGCCGCAGCCGCCTCTTCTTGCTCCCGCTTCTTCAGTTCCAGCTCCGCGAGGCGCATCTCTTCCTCCCTCCTGCGCCGCTCGAGCTCCTCCTCGCCGTTGCAAAAGTTGGGACACCCGACAACAGGATCCCATACGGCACCGCAAATGTAGCAGAACTGAGCCTTGCACCGGCACGTCATGTGCGTGCACCCCTGCGTGAGCTCAACCAGGTTGCGGCACTTGTAGCATCTACGCCACCCGGATTTCTCGCCCATCTTTAGCACTGTCTCCAGCTCAATGTCCTCGGGACAATCCTGCCCGAGCCGATGGGCGCTGCGCTTGCAAATTAGACAGACGCGCATCTTGCACGTCTTGCACATGGTCTCGAAGGGGTGCTTGGGGTCGAGCTTGGCTCTAGGCGGGATAAACTCGCCGCAGGCCGGGTTTGGGCAGAAGATGCGGGATTCCCAGGGCGTGCTGTATTGGAGGACGGCCTTGAGGAAGGCCTGCTGCTCCTCGCGGGTGAGGATCGTCTTGATGATGGAGCTGGGAATGGGCTGGGTGCAGCAGCGGGGAGGCATCTTGGACTCGTCGGTGGTGGATTGGTTGATCATGACGGCCAGACAGTTCTGGCAGTAGGTGTGGCCGCATGGTAGCGTCTGGAGGAGGTGGTTCTCTTGGGCAAATTCCTCGCGGCAGCATATGCAGATCCTAGGAAACGGTAGAACTCGTTAGATGCCTCATTCCAACATGGCTCATGATGCCCAGAGTATCTGGGTGGGGCTGACGGTCCAGCAGAGTCACTTACACGATTGATAACGCCGGATACGTTTTCCTCCTCTTCAACCTGCCTGTGAGGCCGCGCCGGAGCTCCCTGACGCCCTTGAAGTGCCCAAAGCCAAAGATGTTGTGCGACGGCCGCCTTGTGGGCGCTGCTGGGTTGGAAAACTTTGGTTGGTGAAGCGCGGGTTTCAGCTGCGTCAAATACTTCTCATACTGGGAAAAGTTGACGGTGTTGGACCTCTTCCTGGTCGTGGATTGTGTGAGAGTTGCCGGCATTGCTGCCGACGAGTTCGAAGCCATATCATTATCGGTGCCTGTGGCCGTTTCGGTGCCGGTGGTACTGTCGTTCGAGCATATTGTGTTGGAGCGCTGGTGGGCAACGAGAGTGCTGCTTCTCGCTGATGTGGCGTTCAAGGCAGTGGGATTTCCCAGGCTGTCAGTGAGGTTCGAGACATCGATTCCCAGACTCGAAGCCTTTGCCGTCAAGCTCTCCTCGATCTCGGCCTCAGTGGCGGTGGCATCTTCAGTCGTTATCCCGAAAACCTCACGGAGGTACTCGGACTCGTCTAGTTTGGGTGAGTTGGCGACGGTGCCGACCAGATGGGCCGACGACAACGATACTGAGGTGAATTCAGCCATATTCCTTCACGAATCACTTGACAATTCTCCATCTACTTCCGCCCCTGTTGACACAGCAGATATCTGGGGTAACGGCGAATGGTTACCAAGACAGTCGAAAGGCATATGGCGGCGGCAGACAAAGAAGACTGGAGTGGTGGCTATGTGAAGCGGGAGTTTTGGGAATTGGATGAAATATGTATTAAAGATGCGGTCCAATCTATCAGAAGAGGAATTCCCATGACGCAAAACTATGGGCAAGGGTGGGGTTTATGCATCCGGAGGAGTTCAGGTCGCTGTAGTGTCAGTTGAATGTCGATCCAAAGGGCTGGCCGGATGTCCAGGGCTTTGCGGCCGCCGTCGTTACGTGAGCTGACTGATTAGGCCAAATCAACAGCGCTAACACTCTGCTACCAATATGTGAGGTGTTCACTAATGTACGGCGATCTGAATAACCAGGGCTGAGAATGGTTGCCGAAAAATGCCCGGAGCCCTGGGGAGTGGTGAGATCTAGTGTAGCGTGTTGGCAAGGGAAGGCAAGGGACGATGAAAAGAGTAAGATGACGGGAGGAGTAAGCTCGAATAAAGTTGGGAGATGTGGTGGAGGGGTTCAAGGGGGAGGGAGATGGAGGAGGGAGAGAGATGGAGTGTTTGGTCGGCGGCAACGGAGAGCAAGAGATTTGAGATGGAGGGATCACACGAAAAGCCGCAGAAAGATCGCCAGCTAAAGCAAGTGATGTGCAGTAGACCAGACGAGGGTTGCAGTTTGGCGCCCAAATATACATCACCTTAGCAGTACATACATTATTACATTGTACATTACATATCAAGGCCCGACTTGCATTCTGCACATATCAAGGTCACTAGACCATCACTGCTTGTGCCAATAGCTGTGAGCAGGTTGTCTCTATCGCCAGCTGAGTTCCTTCATAGCTGGATGAAAAGAAACACAATGTCTAAGGTAGGTATCATGCCCATCAAGAGAAGGGATGTTACACTTGGTGACGGGGTCCTCAATGCCGCTGTTGATGTTGGGGGGAAACAACGCGGGGACAGTGGACGCCGCACGGTTGGTGCGTTTAACGTTACTTACCTGGCGCTGGCTGGCCAAGAAACGGGCAAGGGTATGTGATGCGCCTGGGCTGCGTGAATCCCCGGGCCCCGAGGGGTGGGAGCCAGTAACTGCCTCGGGCAACTAGGTGGGGGCCCTGGGGTTGGTAGTGTAGGTCGGTAGATACGAATCAGGCAAGTGGAAGTAACAAATCCAACTACTTTTGCCTAACTGGTGTCGGATACTGGAGGTAACCGGGGTGCCAGCCCAGTACCTTACGTAAGCTGGCATCCCTAGCAACCTTCTAATACTAGATTTTCTATATAAGGGATTAACCCAATACAGAGATCTATACAATATATAGTCTGCATCCTCTATTTAATCAATACCCCTGTTCGTACTTATATTCTACAATTAAGAATTTTATACACAATAATCACCGATTAAAGTAACTCGGGTAAATATAATATAATAATTACCTACCGAAGTAAATAAAGTAATATAATGCAATAATATTTATTAATTTTAAGACCGCTAACGAGGTTATCTTTAATAAATCCAAAGATTAGTATTTCTAGAAAAAGGGATTTAAAAATAAAGCATTCAATAAGAAATTCTAATCGTTTATTAACCCGGATCTTAAGAAGCGAATCCCTTAACCTAATACTCCTATTAAACCGTTAGTTACTAACTTTTAAGAACCTTCTAAGAATATCTAAATTTAATAATAAATTTTTAATATTACTAAAATAAATAACGGCCCCCCGGCTATTAGTACCTGGCTATTTTAAACTACCTAATCGATTATAATCCCGGCTCGGACCCTAACATTTACTTCAACTCCTACTAGTCCGCCTATAAAGGTTTTCTTTATAGCTAAACGTTTAAGTTTCACATTTAAATCTAACTTCTATAATTATAAAACTATTCTAGCCAACTACTATTACGAGAAGAAAATTTAGGACAAATTTATTACTAATGTTAATAATATTAAAAATTAGATTAAGAAATATACTATTAAGAAGCTTTATTTAATTTACTTCCTAAAAACTGAAATTATTACTATTTAATATAATAAATTCTATACGTTAATTAATTATAACCCTGTAAGAATTAAGGAAGATACTTATACTAAATATTAGGAGAAGGTCCGCCTTACCTACGCTCTAAAGAATTAGATTATTTAATTTAAAGAATAGGAAGGGATTATAACTATTAGCTAATACTATAATATTAACAAATATATTAATTTAAAGAATTAGTATTAAGACTTCCTCTATATAATAAATAAATTCCCCGGGTCCCTACTTACTACTTAGATTATAGTATATTATTAAATTAAGGATAATAAATTTTATACCTTTATAAATATAGCCTGGAAATTTAAATAAACAATCCTTAAAACGTTTTTATTAAATAAAGGTCACTCCCAAATCTATAAGGGTAGTATGTTCAGAACGGCAATTATATATACTAAATCTAATAGGGACGCTCCTAATAACCCTTAAAATAATAGAAGTAAAAAGCCGGCCAATAACTATTAAAATTATTAAAATTATAATAAATAATCGAAGAGGGCTTACCCTATATATAAACGTATAAATTACAAACTTAAATACTATTAATATATTAATATAGTGAACCAACCGGGTAACTTTAAAAAAAACTATTATATATGTAAATAAATTAATAAGAATTACTAAAAAGACACCAAGTTAATAGAAAAGATTAAAAAATTCTTAAAAAATACTAAAATTAACGAATCCTACTAAAATAACGTCAGTAACTTTTAATTTAACGGCCGGCGGGTCGGTAATATATATTGCGAAGCGAATTTCCTAGTACTAAAACCCTATAAGGATAGACTAAAGTACCTATTAAAGAATTTAATAATTTTTAATTTAAATATAATAATCTATATCTTTAATAAAGCTAGTCGGTTTAAAGGTTTCAAACCCACGAGAGAGGGAGACTACATTTAGGCGGGAGATATATTTATTACAATCGAGGGATACGGTTTGGTCTACTTAATATTAAATAACAACGAGAGCTACCCTATTAATTTTAAATTTAATAATATTATACTTATACCTAAAATAATATATAACTTAATATCTCTAAAAAGGTTATTAGAAAAGGGACTATATTAGGATTAATTTTTTAATTTAAAGTACCTTCGCTTCTATTTAAATAATAACTATTTATACCGTCTCTCTCAAAATTCAACTAATTTATATTAAAATATATACTTCTCGAAATACATACTAACCAATCCTCTTTTTACATATAATTTTACCAGTTTACTAATAAAACTATTAAAAAGCTTTAAAAGGGTAATACTTTACATTAATACCTTCGCTTTAATTAACTAGAATTAGAAACCTTAGCCTAATTAATAAATAAAGAATATAGAGTACGCTTAAAGGGCCCCAATCTTATTTATTATAATTCTTATATAATAATTAAAATAAAGCGCTAAATATATAGAGAGGTCCGCAACGCGCTAGAAAGTCCTAATCTCCGTCTCGCTATTAATTTCTTTAATTATCTCCTAATTAAAATACCCAATAGAAGTACAATATCGAATTTAATAATTATTATAAATTATTAGTTCGGGAAAATATAATTATATTATTTACCAGACCAGACAGCGGATTCGATTATTACTATACTAATATCGCTATTTAATAATTTTAAACTTTATTACTAAATCCAACTAAAGGTAATTAAATATAATAATAAAATAATTATAAATAAACCCTATATTACTACCTTCGTAATTAAATATAATATAATTCTTAAACTCTTAACTCTATATACCCAAATATAAAATAGTAGTACCAAACGTTCGAGGGGTATAATTAAAGAGAAGTCGGTACTAATAAGAGAATTAGTAAATTTACTATAAAAATTCTAGAAAGAAATAATAATAGTAGTAATATACTTATTAAACTTAATTCTACAATAGGAATTCAATTAAAAATCTCTAAAAGAATACTTTACTATATATATAATTAATCGCAACGGCGGTTAGTAAAGACTAATATTATAATTATCTTACTTCAAAATCTATAATTATAAAATATTTATATTTATAATTAATATTCTATATAGTTAAAAGCGAACCTAAAAATTCAAACGACGCGCTTAGGTTAAATATTTAATCAATTACTAATCTAATAATATTTATCGTATCTAAAATCCATATATAAACTAGGTAATTACAACGAAAAACGTAGTCTTTAATAAGGATAAAATCTTTATAAATATAATTAAAGAACTCTATAATACCTTTAATATCTCCCTTAAAAAATTAGCCGTACAACTAAATAATATCTATTAACCAAAATTTAATATATCCGACCTATTACCAACTAAAAGCGCTAAAATAAAAGATAAGGAAACTAATCTAATCGTTAAAGCCCTACCCGCCGCCAATAGTACTATAACTTCCAAACTAACTGAATCTATATATATATAAGAGGAGGGACAATATTAAGAAGGCACTAGAATTCCAATACTAGAATTACAACCGCAAAATAATCAGTAAGCAATAATAATAAATAAAGAGGAAATAAAGTATCCTACTCCCCTAGAAAATCTAATATTATTCCTTATTAATAGTTTTAATATATTATACCCCTAATAAACCTAACTAATATATAATAAATATCTCTATTAGGTTAGGTCCTTCTTAATTACTTTAAATAAAATAAATATTAGGTTATATAATAGACAGCCTATTAATAAAGAAACCCTTAACTAATTAAAATATATAACTACTAATAAAAAGGAGGAAGGAAAAAAATTCTCTAACGACTCGAAGTTAATTAGAAATATTATAAATCGTTATAATGACCTTAATACCTTAGCTAATTTCTATTAACAAAAGTTCCCTCCTCCCCTTCAAGTTTATAGAAACTTTAATTATTATCCGTTTAATAATCTCTTCTATAAAGTAGAACGAAAA